AGATGATACCTTATTTTATTTAGCGTACATCCAAAATTCACGCAGTTGACCTATCCTCTGACCTGGTTCTAACTATGCAATGAAAGGAAAACTGATTTGAAGCATTCAATACGTTCATAAACAAGTGCGTAACGGTTCACCATCACCGAACATAGACTGAATGTTCTCTTGTCATGAGGAAGGATTGTCTTCCCATAGCGCATCATGGCTTTGAATGTCTCTTGAGACTGAGGTTCACCGTAAACATGAAGTGAAACTGATATATATATATATATATATATATATATATATATATATATATACCACACATTGTCAATGGTTCTTATACCTCACCAAAAAGTATCTGATCACATCTAACATGCTTAATTATTACAAGAGTCAGAACAGATGAAACATACCAGGATTTAAAAGCAATCATAGCAGCATTAGATATGAAGACGTAACCTTGTTGATAACAGCACAGAAAGAAAACTGCAGAAATTACTAGAGATGCTATTTGAAAAAAAACCAAAAATACAAGAAGAAATGACTAATTATTAATTGGACAATCGGAGATGTGTGACCCAGGGGGAAATTCTATGCAAAATGGAAACGAAAAAAAAATGCCTAGAATAAGAAAGAAATAATGAAGTAAGCGGGATTAAGCCAATTGATACAGGCAGGACACACGCAAAATGAGGACGAGGTGGACAACAACTTTACGTAAATGGATGGTAGAACTGACAATGGGATGGATTATAAAATACAAATATTGGTAAGTGCAATAAAAGACAGAATGTTGTGGAGAGACATTATCGCCCATTACGCTGAAGAGACAAAGTAAATACAAGAAGAAGAAAAAAAGGAATGAATACCCGATTTTATCCACTTCATTTCCTTCTTTTCAGAGATATTTAATTGCGAGAATTACTAATCAAGAAGACAGTATTTTGAAATTATTTAACAAAAGATTGATAATTTTTCCGAGACGCAAACTTGGCTTATCTTTTGTATTGTGGTTTACATCAGCATAACACATATTTCTGCAATAATACAGCTATAAAACTGAATTTGAAAAAAAAAATCAATAATTAGATATCTTTGCCGCCGGCTATTAAACACTTCGATTTTGAAATAAAAAATAATGATCAGTATAAAATGTTTGATTAAATCTAAGTACAGTTCCAAAAATGTAGAATAAATAGGCATTTAATGATGTATCTTTATGAAATTGTGTGAAGTTATAACATTATCCGTATTTAATGGTCTTATCTTCATTTTAAAAACGATGAAAAACTAGGGTAAACATGAAATACACCTTGTATATAGAATTCAGTGAACATAAATAGAGGATATATGATGAAAAATATACACTTTCAGGTTCATTAAGCTATACACACATACACACACACACACACACATTTCCTTCCTTTACCTTTTCCCTTTCTTAATACATACCCTTTCTTTCCCTACCCCCACTAAATTTGAATATGCATATTGAAGATAAGTTAGGTTCTTATTGGGTTTTAATCCTAATATAATACTTGTCTTTTTATATTCGTGTGTTAAATTCCGTCTGAAGTTCTGGGATGGATTTTTAATAAAATAAATAACACGGTGGTATTTTAAGTCTTCGTTTTTCACTATTATAATAAAAATTAATTACTCTTTTTATGATATTGAGCTCTCTGGATTTATTCTCGTTTTGGAAATCCCATACGGGTTACCAGATATATATATATATATATATATATATATATATATATATATATATATATATATATATATATATATTGATGAAATGGAACTAATGTCTTTAATTTAATCACAAAATTAAATTCGTGGCTTTTAGCTTCCATTTTGAAATTTAGTTAGAACTGTGTAGCGAAAAAACATATTTTAAATCAATTAATTTATAATATTAATGCTCTGTAAATTTACATTGAGCACTATTTTGTACAAATAAAAATGTCTATAAGAAAACCGGATTATATATCTTGCTGTTCTTTCTCTCTCTCTCTCTCTCTCTATATATATATATATATATATAGGAAAGGGAACATAGAAGTCAACACTTAGAGGCGACAGTCTGTTCCATGCTAGACGCAATCGTCAGGCCACGGCTGCGTCTAGTATGAAACACCCTGAGCACTTTATCTCATAAATATTGCACACCTTAAGGCTATAATCATTCACATATATATTTATTATATATTATTTCAGTAGAATCAAAGATTCAATCACAACTCTTCAGACGGAGTCTTATACAAAACTATAAAAGGACAAGGATTTTATCAGGTTTGAAAAACCAATTTGAATATAATCACCGTTCCCTCCTTTACCTTTTGCCTTTCTTAATACATACCCTTTCTTTCCCTACCCAGACTAAATTTGAATATGCATATTGAAGATAAGTTAGGTTCTTATTGGGTTTTAATCCTAATATAATCCTTGTCTTTTTATGTGTTAAAATCCGTCTGAAGTTTTGGGATGGAGTTTTAATAAAATAAATAACACGACGGTATTTTAAGTCTTCGTTTTTCACTATTATAATAAAAATTAATAACTCTTTTTATGACATTGAGCTGTCTGGATTTATTCTCCTTTTGGAAATTCCATACGGGTTATATATATATATATATATATATATATATATATATAGGAAAGGAACATAAAGTCAACACTTAGAGGCGACAGTCTGTTCCATGCTAGACGCAATCGTCAGGCCACGATTGCGTCTAGCATGAAACACCCTGTCGCCTCTAAGTGTTGATTTCTTTCTTCCCTTTTATATTTACATCCGCTCTTTCTCTGATACTGAGCACTTTATCTCATAAATATAGCACAACTTAAGACTATAACTCTTCATATATATATATGTATATATATATGTGTGTGTGTGTATGTGTTACTGTTTGTGTATGTGTGTGTTTGTGCGTGTATGCATGCATAAATATATTAATATGTATATATGAATATAGAGAGACAAGAGGAAAAACTATTCTTAGCCGACACGTTTCGTCCGCTTAGCGACTTTATGAAGGAAATGTGAAATTGCCATTATACAGTCCCATAGAGGATGTAACGCGTCGACTTTTTGTCTCTTTGTATTAATTTTGTCACCTCTACAGTAAGAAAGAAAACACAAGCATTACGGAGAGAAATCAAATCAAGAAAGTGATTAAGAATAATCGTTAGTAATGAAAATATTAAATTTAGCTTATATGAATCTCTCCAGAGATTTTCAGTGTCAGTTTATTGTACATTACGAGGGCCAAATGTAAATCAACTATAAAATTAAAGTTAAGTATATCATCTATATAATAAATGCGAAAATGTCTGTGTGTGTGGCACACTCTTTAAATTAAGGGACACAACTCTCTAACTTTTAAATATCTCATCTTCTTCAAATGATACTTGCCTCTCCAGGTTTATAAGAGTTTAATAGCCACATTACAAATTTAGCGTATCGTACCTTAATACACGGAAGACAAAGTTTACCTGTCTTTGGAAATATCATTAGGGTTTTTAAATACGATGTGTTGTACATGAATTGATTTAGGAGGCGGAAAAAAATTATTTTGGCCGCTGACTTTCTCAGATGTAAATATTTTAGAATATTTTATGGCATGTGTTGGACCTACAAATTCGGACGGTAGACCCTCTCTCAATCGCAACTTGTATTTAAACGACTTCTTAACAGGCCACCATTTCCTATAAGATTCCTTTCGATAGCATGCTGCGTATATAGTGGATTATTGACTGCAATATATATACTTCATAATTTATATTCTTGTGTTTTTATCGATCTCTAGGAATGCAGTGGATAATCCGTATTAGGTTGAATTTGCATACTTGAACAATTTCTCTAATAACGAAGCCACAACATTTGAAATAACCTCATTCAGAAAAAGAATGACAGAAATTTCAATTAATTAATAATACAAACGTTTACCCAGTTATTCTCAATTAGCCACGATATAATGCCAACACGCAAATCTGTTACCCATACGCGTACATATGTACAGCGTGCAATGGATAAATTGTCGTCTAAATGATGTAAAAAGAAAAGAAAACAACAGTGACATCTTATTTTAACAGATATATTTACCAAAATTACGCAAAAATATCTTTAAATACGAAAGATTAAATTCATTAAATAAAATCACGGCCGCCATCTCTTATCAATGGTCTCCTTTTTTATGTTGGTGAATGCTGCCATAATCATTGCCTTTACTTCATCCTTCGTATTTCAAAGAGTTTTACTGTTAGTTCGCTCACCTGCACCATACATTTATTAATCAAGGGAGTTTAAGTCCAGGGAGTTAAGGAGTGGTATGGTCGCGGAAATTGTCTGACAGCAATGACTGGATTCTCTTCCTTGTGTAGCATGGTACAGACACATTTTGGCAGACATAAGTCCTTCAAGTAGCCGCCCTCTTGACCCAGGGCCATATAACTTACTCAAGGGACTTGAGGTGGGCCTCTGTGTTGAGTTTGAGGCACTCAGCAACGTATTCGGGAATTCTTCCTTACTGGACTATTCAGAGAGAGGTTTTCGATCTGCCATACCTTTAACCATTTGAATCATCCAATTATTTCCGAATACTCTGCTCTCTCGTCAGATTGACGCACAAACTCTATGAAATTTTCCTATTGGAGATTTCTGCTCGAATGCCAAGCAGTACATCATGGCGTTTCTAAATTTGTGGCAGGGTCAATTGCGTAATGGTTCTCTTTTTCTTACAGAGGGTTTCCAACTGACCATACTATATTGTCCAGTCGACAAAATACCCACCCACAAAAATAACGCGTATGAGCGAAAGTGAAAAAATATTAAATGGAGACAATTTACCCATCACACCCTGTATATATATATATATATATATATTAGTATAAAAATCTTAATCAATTGTTAAAAAAAAAATGAGAAAAAATAAGTTTAATATATATGCAAGACATCCCCTCTTCATAAGATTGTCTGAAATGTATAATATATTTTTCTGATTGTTATTCAGCTAATGATTTTGATTAAGTCCCTCTCATTTTCTTCTTTCTTTTTTCTTTCTTTCTTTCTTTCTCTTTTCTTTCTATCTATCTATCTATCTATCTATCTAGCTATCTATCTATCCGTACACGTTTGCTTGTGTGTGTGTGTGTGTGTCTGCATGTATGTGTGTCTGTTTGCATGAGTGTATATACATATATATGGTAGAAAAAACCATTGATTAAGATATATTTTGTCCCAACATTTTAGTTTAGAAATGAAACACCCGGCTTGTAAAGCCCTACATTACACACTCTGACGTATGTCAACGCTATAATAAACAATGACGTAATAAAACAGAATACGTATAACATGATATAGCGATGTAACGAACATCCAAAAAAAAATTAACGTTTGTCTGAATGAGAAGTATGATTTCTGTAATTAATTATGCCTTCATTTTCATCGGAACAAAAAATGATGCCTTCGTTATCATCAGAACAAAAATGATGCCTTCCTTTTCTTCGGAACAAAAATATTCCGAAATCATATTTTGATCTTATGATTAGTATTTTATTTCTGAAAGATTCTTTAGTAGAGGAAAAAACGGAAATTCAGTTTTTATAATTTTATCATTTTCGCCCATGATTAATTCCAGCCACATCGGAATATTTACAACTATGTTTTTCTTTCTTCTTTTAAACTTAAAATTATTTAGCGTTCAGAAGATTTAAATAAATTCGTCTCTGTTTTTTTATTAATAACTAGCAGTAGAGCCCAGCGTTGCCCGGGGATGTAACAGTAAGAGATAGATCAAGTATCGACCATCATAAAGACTGAAAAATAAAATTGACAAAGATTATTGTTTAAGGTTGACGGATACGCATGTCTTAATTAGTTTTATTTTTTATTTTTTTTTTACGAATTGGTCAAACCCAAACTCAAACAAAACATTGTTTTCAATCGTTATGAGTCTACCGATTGAATAGAGTTTTATTATAAACAACTGTCTTGTAAATGGAATTTTTAAAGCACTCTGAATCTAAAAATAAAGAAAAAAGTGTGCAAGACAATAAGAAACACTACCTGCCAAAAAAAAGTGTTTTGTTTAAATCGGTTGAAAAATGTAGGAAATCCGATCCCATATATAAACAAACAAAGATACACACACATACACACAACCTGGGTTTTATAATAAGTATAACTCGATAACTCGATATTAATAAGTATAACTCGATATGAGTTGTCCCTCTTTCATTAATGCCTCTTAATCGTGTTTTAAAATTGATTTCGTGCAAAAACAATTGTGTTTTTCCAATTTTTGGCGCTGTCAGAACCACCGCAAGGTAGTTTTACGTAGTCCTGTAAAGTTTTGTTGAAATCGGTTGAAAAATGGAGGAAATTCGATCCAATATATAAACGTACAGACACACACACACCATCTGCGTTTCATAATAAGTAAGATAGACAATTCCGGTATTTTGTAATTTTACATATGATTTGAATGAAATTTAACAATTCCAATCTGTTTTCTACTGACTGTAAATAATAGAGTGATCAATCCGTCTGTGTATAAAATAACAGAAAGTAATTCTTCTAATAGATTATGTGACATAGATAAAAAGATCTTTATGCAACTTTGTTCTAGTTAACACATTTTCCAACAAAGTATTTTTTGTATACGTAATGCTCATACTATAAGGAAAGTTTGCAAAACAACAGATAGAAAATGTCTATAAGTAATAAAACATACGAAATAAATATCTCATCTCAGGATTTCAGTAAACAAGAGAAGTATACTTTGTTACTTAAGCTGACATTGCAGCTAAAAAGTGTTACGAACACCATCAAAAAATGTTAAAATTCCAACAAAAACAAATTGTATACGTTATTCGAATTTGTTTTTTTTGGTTTTTTTGAGCATTGAGTCGAAGAATTCTTCGGAAAGTAATTTTCTTATTACATAATTTAGTGATGAACCTTGCAATATATTTGTTGTTCTAAATTAGTAATAGTATTAAAAAGTTAGTGTCGACCAAATAAATTGTTAGTATCTTGAAACTGTCTTCCTGAGAAATGAAAAATCAATAATCATTTGTTGAGTCACTCTTATATTAAACATTTTAACTCTTCATTCACTCTTAAAATATCAATAAATATGATCTAATCAATTTTTAAACAATCGATCTTTTTTTTTCTTTCAGAGTTTATATTTTGTTCCTTTCTAGTTTTATGTTTTAACCTAATGTATTTTAACTGAACCGCTTTTATGACGTAATAGGTTTGAATTTAGCAGTTTGATTTATTTATTGGTGGATATATTCAAGTCTCTCTCTCTCCTCATTTATTTCTCTCTCATTCCCCAGTTTTTTTGTTTTTTTTTTCATTTTACCATTTAACTTCTTTCTTTCTTTCCATTTTTTAGCCTTTATTTCAATATTTCTTCTGAAGCTTAATTTATATTCAATTATTTATTTTTCTTTCTTTCTTCATTTGAAACAGAATATTTTCCCTACATATTCTTACATTTTGCTCCGACGCTCTTGTATATGATTTACAAATATCCTTTCCTTCCTTCTTTTTATTTATTTATTTGAATTTCCCCATTAATCCCCAATCCTTCGTTTTAATTTTTACTTTGTTTTCTTTTCAGCATCCGATCAAAACCTTCTCACGTTTCCATCGATTTTACATCATCGTTCGAATCTTTTCAATTCGTTTCCCTCCTAAACATTTTCTCAGTTACCCTTCGCATAAAGAGCTTATCGATGCAAAGATGAAAGACTTTTCAATTAAACTTACTTCTTACGTTTATATTTTTTTGCTAGTTCTCTCGACTTAAAAAAATGCAAATTGCGTGTAGATATCTGATTCTTGAAATGGTAACATCTTCCCGGTCTTTCATTCTTTATCACATTTATTTCTTTGGTTTGATTTTATTATTTTAAATATCTTTAATGTTTGATTTGCTGAGGTCGATACCTTTGTTGTAAAGCTTGAAGATGGCACATTTGCCAAATTCCATAAAATATATAAATTTATAGATATATGATGAGACATGAATTTTATTCACGTTGGAATGTCTAAGATGATGATGGACAATATTTTTCCTGGGAAAGCCGAACCTCATATCAACAATGTGTATATATTAGTCTTATATAAAACCCTACAAAATATGTACATCTATAGAGTACATAATTACACCGACCCGACATCTGCACAACGGGCAAACATACGCACATGTGAATATATATATATATATATATATATTGATGCATGTTTCATTAAATAGTATAGATAAGTGTTGTCTATTCATTTTATGCAAATTCTTTTCATAACGTCTGATAAGCATAATAACATTATCATTAAACGAAGAAAGAAAATCACAATATTGATACATATTTTTTTAATCCAATCTTACATAAGCCATTATCGAAGATGACAATTACAGTACACTATATTAAGCAATATACGGACAGGAAAGTGATTATAGTCTGTCTCTGTTTACATGGATGATTTCCAAGCAACGATAAACACGTGCATATAGGACGCTGGAAGCGAAAATCTCACCGCAGCGCATAACGCCACACACTCAATTAAACTAAAAAATAAAAATCATCCTTGATAATGACCAAAATTATAGCTGAAAGGGCTCCGAACGATAGAACATTTGAACGGTTTCTACACACTCTGTCTCCAAAAAAGAAAACTCTTGTGCGAACACAGGAAAAATTAAATAAAAAAGCTTAACTGTATTACATTGTCTGTCGTTTTTAATGAAACACACACACACACACACACACACACACATATATATATATATATATATATAATTTCAGTTGAGCTCTCTGGGGAGCAGGTGTGGGTTTGTAAACAGTGACTATTATAGCTAAGATTGCGAGACTCTTCACTAAAAAAAAAAAAAAAATTGAGTCACTGTCGGTCACTGGGCGTGTTTCTAAAAATGAATACGCTAAAATCCACCTTCATCCCTTCCGTGCGCCCACGGCTTAGTGGTAGAATCTCCGACTGACACCAGTTCAGTCGGGTTTTGATCCTAGCTAAAGGCAACCGGATGTCTGACCACTTTGATGAGCTGCGAAACTGTCTGTCTGTGGATGACGTTATATATATATATATATATATATATATATATATATATATATATATTTGATTAAATTTAAAAAAAAAAAACGACAACCTTAAGCGTCCAATGAATATATTTTATTTTCCCAGAAAGGTGTTATTCATCAGATCATATTTCGAAGCATAATAAATGGTTTTAAATTTACGTATTTTTTTTAGTCGGTTTTGAGAGCTAGTCTTAAGTTGATGTAAAGAACTAAGAAAGCAAATGTGGAAGCAATGGTGAGAGGAAAAAGTGGGGAAAGAAGGAAGGAAGAATAAATTAACATATATAGGCATAATTTTTATTTTATTATTTTAATTAAATTAATATACGCTCTGGTTTGACATTGATCTCTCTGGATTACATCCTCCTTTGGATTATCCATACGGATGACCCAATCTTTTATTATCTATATATATATATATATATATATTACACACACACACACACACACATATATATATATATATATATATATGTATATATATATATATATATATATATACACACACATATATATCTGAAGAAAAAAACGAAAATTTTCTTTACCGACGCGTTTCGTCGTCTGAAGGAATTTATAAAGGTACATATAAAAATTTTGCTTTGTAACAAGAATTTATAAACAGAATTAAATTAGCATTTATACATTTTTAAATTTTATCCTTTGAGCTATGACCACCGCTTTACCGGTGGCAGAGAAAAATGACTTAATGACCAGACACCGGTTGAATGGTGGGTAAACATTTGTAACTATTTTTATATCTACCGTGAAACATTATATACCAAGGATTTGCAAATTTTGACTGAGGAACTCAGGCAGAAGCGTTAAAACTGTCCAAGAATGCAGTGTTAAGAGCGCTCAGAAATATCATTCAGGTGAACTAAGAAAATCAGTATAAACTTCATAAGCTATGGTCAATGTAAACTTCATAAGTTATGATACAATATATTTATAAACTGTTGTTAGTTGAATGTTATGGTTAATAAAGGAAAGTGTGTAAATGTTCAATTTTCAATGTAAT